TATTTGTTTCCATGATAAGACAAGGACTTGAACACATACAAGATTCAAAAGCATGAATGGAGGGCACAGGCAAAAAAAAGGGAATGATTAATTGGAGTGCATTTAAAAATAGTAACCGTACGTAATGCTGAGCAAAGCTAAAATCTATTTTAAACTGTTTATACAGAACGGAAGCGTATGTTCTCAAGGTCTCCAGTTTGTCTATGTGGGTTGGTCAAAAAATTGTGACATGCTGAGAAAGGCATTTGTGCTTTGTTGTTTTTAGCAAAACTCACTTCCAACAAAATGGATTTAAAAGAGGAGAGACTGCAAAATACGTAAAGGTCACAAGGCAATCTTGGCCCATGCTCTCCAGGAGGTGCATCTGCCTTGAAACATTTCAGGAACAGCATCTCCATGCTTCTGACTGCCTCCATCTGTCATTCTTCAGGAGCCTTTTCCTCAAGCCCTCACATTTTTGTCTCTCAGAGGATATGGGCAGCTCCTTATTGCATCCTCCCTTGTACATTTTTTTGCCCTTACAGTAGAAAGGAATGCTCACTGAAGCAGCTCTGTCCATTCTTGCTGGAAAGGGTCAGGCACTATGGGAAGAAAAAAAAACAACCACCAAACCCAGAGAAAGGACAATTAGCTGTAGTCTCTGTGCCACCAAAATCTACCATTGACTTTGGGACACTTCCTTGGGTTTGTCCTAATTTAAGGTTTGGTGGCAAAAGTATTTCTGCAGGCTGCCTTGCTGCACTAGAGCCTAAACCCATGGAAGTGGCGAGGTAGAAGTGAGAGTTATACCAACTTTTGGAAAAGGTTTACAAATGGCCAGCTGGTACACTGCCAGCTCACTCGGGGTGCAGAAGAAGGGGGCACTATCCTGCTAGGAAGGATAATGTCATTCTTATTTATGTGCTTCTGGAGTCTGCTGATGGGACCAGGAGTACTGTGAGGAGCTGTACAGGGAGGCTGGCAATGTGGTGGACATCACCCGAGGTTGTCCTTGTTCTGGAGGATGCCATCCATCAGGTGTCCCTGGAACAAAGAAAGCAGCAGGCAAACTGGGCTGGTTCTTTCAAGCTAGTGTGGAATTGCAAGGGTACCACAAGCATGAGGTGCCCTGCCAAGAGAGCTGTATTGTTGCGCTGGCTTCTTTTCAAAACAGAGCTTAATCTTTGGCTTTCCTTCTCAATTTGTTCATTCTCCTTTTTTCCTACCTTCATTTTCCATTTTTAAACCTTGTGGATCAGCATAGTGTACACTACAGAACACCTAGTTCTACAGCAGCATGCAAAAGAAGGCAGACCATCACGTCCCTTAAAATACATATTTCTGCAGTATATATATTGTGACTTGATATCATCTCATGCCAGTGCAGTGCTAAGAATCTATTGAATCTATGAGCCAAATATGTGATTTAAGATCTCACACTTGTTTGGGATTTGCCACAAGAGCAATACTGTTCAAGCCCATGAGGTGCCCACACCCCAGCTCTGGAGAAGTAGCACACAGCAATCGGGGTCAACAGAGGGCCAGGAGTTAATGCTGTGTCAGGGAGGCGTGAACTGGATGTATGAAAGCTGGAGCTGTGGCTGTGAAAAATGCCTTTACAGGGAAAAGAACAGTGTGCAAACGTGTGGGGGAGGGAGGAAGTGAAAGTCCACAAAGCAGAGAAAGGGTAAATGAGCAAAACACCACTTGTGAGGCCCCCAAGTTGGATAGGCACTGCTGCACAACGTTTTCCATTGAACAGCACTAACTACAAGGATTACAGCCTGGCTGGGGCTCTGCCTGCATCCATGTCATCCTGTCCCTAATATTCAGCAATGCTGACTCTGATCTACCATTGCATCAGCCTTGACTATTCTTTCAAAGGCTATTGGGTTCAAAGCCAATCTCTCCCATTCTGTGTTTGTGTCAATACTGGTCTGCATCCACAAAATCTAGTGAGCAGATCACTGTCACTTGCAGGCCCAGGGCATCTCCTTCCCTTTCCTTCACTTCTTTAGACGTGACAAGGGCTCATGTGGGGCACCACATAAAGCCCCTCAATAGGAGGCACACGGTACCAGCATGCTCCTCCCTGCGAGCGAGGGCCAAGGGCAGCCCTTGGCCACAAGCCAACATTTAGCCAGTTGAGATGATGTTTGATGTGACACTGGGTCAATAGTGAGCACAGGAGCAAACAAACAGGAAAAATACACCACAGTAAGTGCAGCACGGAACGGCAGTGGGAGGACCTGGCAGATGCACAGGGGCTGATTCAGAAGGGAGATGCAGCCCCACCCAGGCTGTTGTGAGCAAACTTGCCCTGCACCTCACGACAACTGCTTTCAAAATGGGTTTAATAACACATGTCAAAATGCCACCTGGCTCCCAGCAGGGAACTGTGGTGTGGACACCAGTCACACCAGGGTGAGACAGCTCAAACTGACCTGCAACAAAATCCAAGTGCCAACAAATTGCTATTGAGCAGAACAGGCATTTTGACCTAATGGCAGAAATTGCACCCCTCTGAGGGCACAGGAAATGATGGAGGGGTGGAATCCAAGGGGATGAGAAATAAGCATGAGAATAACAATCATGACTGTTTAAAAAAAAACCCAAGAAACAATTCTACCTCACAGCACTGGTCCTTCCAGTTTCCTTTGCTGCTTCCCTTCTCAGTAGTCCATCATTTTGGGGTTTATTTGATTATAATATTCAAGCTTGGGCTTAAATTGAAGTCTTGTTTCTCATCAGTTGCCTTATCGTGAGAAGATAACGTCTTTCTTTTTTTAAATTTTGACCATTTTTAGGGGCTACATAAGGGCTAAAATGCCTTATCCTTAAGGAGATGTGTTTTCGACGCATATGGTGCTTCTATAGATTTCAGTGAATTGTAATTTTGTTAGGCTTGGCTTGGGGTAATAAACACCTTGCATTTTGTCTACCCTTAAGTACTGAGAGATGTTCTTGTTTTTCTCTCTATTTTAATGCAGAGAACTTGATAATATTTGTGGGGTTTGGGAGATGTTTTTAAATTAGAAAACAACAATTAAACAAGAAGCACACAGAAAAGTGCTGCAGTGTATTTCTAGCAATTTTAAGATGCGACATTTCAGTCTAACGTTTCCACTTATTTTACATTTTAACTTCTGTTTATACTTTTTTTCATACACTCCAGCTTGTTTCACCTCATGTGGGAGCAACACAGAGGAGAGGAAGTCCACAAGCCAGATAAACTGTAATTACCACAGGTTCATTTTGTCAGAGCTACGCAAAGCATGGAGCGCACAGGCCCGCCCTGCCTCTCTAACAGCTCATTGCATCTACCCCATGTGTCCTTGCTAACCTGCACCTGTGCATGGAAATACCCCCTTTGGTGTGACAAGTAAGTTTCAGGCAGTGAATAAATTTTTAAAAAATTATCTACAGTGAGCGGGAAGTTTTCCTTGTTATCTGAGTAGTAGAAATCTCAGCTTTGGGCACTTATATTCTTCTTTCACTGTGGTGTTTATTTATTTATTTATTTCTAACAGTCTCTTTGGAAGGATCGCAATTGCAAAGCCATGATTTGCAATCACAGGGACCAGTGATGTGACCAGGACCTACAGCACAAAATGACAGAAGACAGAGCAGAAAGAAAAACAGCCACAGTCCCCTGTCCTGCAAGATCTATCCCTTGTTCTTGTAAAAGCAGAAAAAGCTTCCAAGACCAGCCAGAGCTCAGCATGTACTTGGGAGATCCACTTTATCTGAAATTCTTGTCTAGCCAGATGTATAGCAATGCCATAGTATGGGAACGTGACCCTTGAAAAACCCTCTCCAGTTTCACATATAAGGCCAAGAGTCTTTAAAAATAGCATCAGCCAGGACAGAAGCTACTTTTTCACTTATCAATCTCCTCCCTGATGAAAGCAAAACTTCATTCTGAAAGCCACCTGCTTGCAAGCCCAGGACACAAAATGCCTCCCCCTCCACACCACCCCACAAGCCCATGGACATAGACACTTTGAGTGGTTTTTTTAATAGTTGCTTATTTCCATGAAGTTCAGAACCCAGTGACAAGATCATTGTAAGGCAGTGTGGATTGCACCGTCCTCGTATAAGCATTTTCAGTGCTATCAGTTTAATGTGGAAGACATAGTTGCAAACAGGAATATTAGGAAGATTTTTTTTAAAGGAGAATGTTAGGAAATTAATTTTTTTTTTTTTTATTACAGGCTTATGTTTGACTATCTTAGATATAGTGACATCCAGACCAAGTGTCAGAAATCTACTACACAGATCCCTCGTAACTGCTGTCATGCCCTAGGCAAGATAATGGTCTAAAACCTTCACTGTATTCTTTAGGGATTTTTTTATTGTTGTTGTATTTTCCTCTCTTAAGAGGAGATTCCTCTACAATCATTCACCCTCAGCTCTGCAAAACATCAAGCCAACACTTTATAGTTCCTCTGGTAGGCACATTATGTTTGCAGTTTTGCCCCAGACACAGAAGTGTTCAAGACTCCAGGTTTGGAATCTCCAACAATCACTCATGGAGTGGCAGAATGTCATCTCTAAGCAGAGATGCTGCCTGCATTTCACCTTTTCCTAACAGGTGCATAAACTGAGCAGGCACAAACATCCAGCCTCCCTTTGGCTGAATCCGAGGAAGAGGTCCATGGAAAACAGAAAATAAAGATCTCATTTATGCCTCCTTACAGGGCCTGCCTACATCTGTAGCCATGCCAGTCAATAACTCAAATCACATGTGCAAGTGGATACAGCCTGTAAACTTCCTCTACGATCCTTGCAAAACGTGTCCAAACCAGATCTACTGCACTTTAAACTTGAATAAAATTCTTCTCATCGCAGGCTGTTTCCTCTACTTCACTTAACCCTTCAAGCCTACACACGGGCCTCCGCTGTGAGCTGCAGCCGGAGCAGAATGCCCTCCTCTGCACCGCCTTCCCGAGAGCCTCTCCGAGCCCTTTATCCGGATGCCAGCGAGCAGGAGCACCGCTATTTTTAGGCCGCGCCCGTACGCTGAGCACGGAGGAATGTGGCTGGGAGCGGGAGGCAGCCCGAGCCCGGCGCTGCGGCCCCGCCAGCCGCGGCTCCACCCGGGCTGCGCTCCCGGGAGCCGGGCGGGGCAAGGCCGCCTGTCCTGGCTGATCCCGATGCGCGCCAGGACCGGACCCCGCCCAGCGCGGGACTCCGCCGCGCCCCTGCCCGCAGCAGCGCAGGGAGGTCCCGAGGGTCCCGAGGCCGGGCTTGGCGGCCTCAGCCACCCAGTCCGGCTGCTGGCGGTGGAACCCCGCAGGGTCCTCCGCCGCCGGGACGCGAACCCGCGACCCCGTAAGCGCCGCGGCCTCCCGGCCCCGCACCCGCGGGTCCCGCTGCCCCCCCACGCCGGCGTTATGTAACGGCCGCGCGCCGCCATTGGCCAGCGCCGCCCGAGGCGCGCGGGCGCGGGGGCGGGTCCGGCGCGCGCGCACTGCCGGTCCCGGTCCCTCCTCCTCCTCCTCGTTCTCCTCCCGAGCGGCGGCGGCGGCGGGGCCGCGCGGAGCCTCCACAGCGCTCGGCAGGGCCGCCCAGCCCGGATCCCGCACGGGTGAGCAGCGCCGGGGAAGCGGAGCCGAGGGGAGCGGGGTGGGGTGGGGCGGGGCGGGGCGGGGAAAGGGGAGCAGTCCTGGCCCGGGGGAAGGGAGACGGCCCGGCCCGGCAGCGGGGCCCGCTCCGCTTGCGGGCCGCCGCTCCCCGGCTGCGGCCTCCGTCCGTGTGTCTGTCTTTCCGTGGTCGCTTCCCTCCCGCAGTGCACGTGGTGGGGCTGCGGCCGCCCCTGCCCCGCCGGGCCCGCCCGAGGGCCGCAGGCCGGGGCCGGGGCGTCCCTCGCGGAGCGGCCGGCCGAGCCCCTCGCTCCCGGGCGGGGAGGCCGCGGGGCCTCGGGCTGCTGTGTGCCTCTGGAAGTGACAGCGGAGGCAGCTGTCGGTGTCCAGTTTTAGGACTTGAAACTCCGCTCGGATTCTGGTTACTTACATGGAAATGACCCCGTGTGAGGTATGGCTGTGCTGCGGGTTTCAGCCCCGCTTCCCGACAGTGCCCGTGCTGCTGCTGTTATGATTTGGCAGCAAAAAATCCTGTTAGGATTTGGCAGCAGATTTTTTTCCATGTGTTCTGTTTCCTACGTGCTCGCGCGTTCTTTATTTGGAGACAGCAGGCTGTTCTGCTGGACTCTCAGAGGGCGTGCCTGATAGGGAAAACAACACTTACCTGCCTTGTGCAATTGAAATTAGTGATTTGGCTTTGTAGATGAACTCATCGTTCTTTTAAACGAGCTTTGGGATTATTTTTTTTTGTCACTTTCTTGGAATAATAATAGTCTAAACCTTACTTTTCTCTGTTTCAGAAACACTTTGTTTCAGCTGTATTAATGTAACTTGCAGTATTTAAACTCTCGGATTTCTGGTCTTGGACACTGTGTGGTGGTTGATATTTTTGAGCAAATGTTTGTAAAGGTCGTGTTTTCTTGTCTGTGACTTAACTAAAACCAGCAGTTGCCAAGTACCTAAAAGCTCAGTGTGGTTGGCTGTTGTAATGTAGTACTTATCAAAGCACTAAAATACAAAGTAATGTGCAAGCACTTTGTGAAAAGAATTCTTTTTTGTTACATCTGAGTGTTTTCTGTCAGGAACTGTCTGACTCCTGGACAATTGCTGTAATGCTGGTAAAATAGAAGTGAAATAAAACCTACTGTTCCTTCTTGTGTATGCAAAGCTATTGGCAATATATCTTCTTTTTATTTTTTTTATTTTAAGTGGGAATCCAGTGTTCTGATTGAGCCATGCTGTATATAAACAGCATGACGACGCCCTGTCTGGGGTGTTCTGAAGTAGTTGTGGCATCCAGTGAAACACAGACTTGGCACTGACATTGAGTGTTGTATCTTACAGAGGCTGTTGGATGCCACATGTATTTCTGTCTGTTTGTAAATGGAATTTGTGTTGTGTTCAATTTTATTAGCTGTATGGACTTCTGAATTCTCTTTTAGAGAAACTGATGGGGAAGAGGAGGGAACACTGAAGATGTAGTCTAATACTTCTGCAGAGGGTTACATGGTGGTGTTTGTTGCCATGAAAGAGCCGGGCTGTGGCCTCGGAAGTGTCTCTCAATCCACAAGAGCTGTTCTGGGTCTCAGGGCCATTGTTTTGCTCACATGTTAGGCACACGTCCAAAAATTCCCACAATACTAGTGAATTTTCACATGTTGTTAATGTTTCCTAGAACTTAATTTTCGTAATAGTTTTTAAGGGCTTTTCGTGCATATTTACTAGAGGTCGGTCACTGTTTGGGTAGGATTTTCTCTCACCTTGGGAGGCCACCTGTCCTGATGGGAGGGATTGCATGACAGGCGTGCTGTAGCCATGAGTGTGTCTGTCCCACAGGTACCAAACCTGGGACAAGTGCCCAGGATACCCAGAGGGGCAGTGGCCAAGCAGCTGCCCTCCTGGGAGCACAAGACTACTAATTGTCCTGAGAACAGTGGACTTGGAGAGCTGTCCTGTGCTTGGGCAGTGTTGTGCTTCTGAGAGCTGCACAACTGAACCGTGCGTGGGCCGTGAAGGACTGGAGAGACACAAGAGCAGAAATTGGGCTGCTGGGTTATATAACCACATGCTGAATCCTGTTCTGTTGGTGTGCCCAAATCCTGTCTGGTGTCTGCTCTGGGCGTGGGGTAAAGAATGAATTGGGTGTCCTGGTGGCTGCGTGCAGGTGGAGTGCACTGCTGTGGAATGTGATGTCTTGATGCTCCCTGAATTGTGACACTTTTGTCTCGTTTTGTCTTCTGGTGGACCTTGCAATGGTATACGGCAGTAGCATTTACTTCCTTTGTGCTCCTGTGTTAGATGCAGTAATGGCTTCTGATGGGGGCAGTCTTTTTTTTTTTCAAGAAATCATATGCACATAAATGTGGCTGAAAACAAAAACACAATAGCCACCTGTAAAAATCACTTTCCATAAAGAGGAGTGACCTATTGTTCTTGGTGTTCCCAACTTCAAAGCAGCTCACAAGCACCTAAAACAGAAGACAATAACACATCTTGGGTAATACTTTGATTTGTCTTTCTTGAAACTTCTTTCAAGTTCCAGAGATAAAGGTTGAATCTTAATCTTTAATTAAAAAAAAAATTACAAGCAACAAAATCCCTGAATTTTTCAGTACCTTTTGAAAAAGAAAGTAAGCTTCTATTAACTGTAAAGGAAACTATTCATTATTCTGACTCTTGAAAACACTTTACAGAAGTAGAGCTTGAATCTTAGTAGAGGAAGACACCTTAGACTGGCCTAGTAATTCTGGTGTTTATTTTAAGCATGATACTGAACCCAGAGGCTTTACATAGCAAAGAGCTCGAACAGATGTCTGTTGTGTTTGAGTTATGGGAGTTGTAGGCCTTGTGGACCAAGCATACGACTGCATTGTGCTCATGGTTACAGCTCCTCAGTCAGATAGCAGCAGTAGTTTCTCATGTTTGTAGACTAAATGTCTTCTTTTTGTTTGTAGATATGGCTCGTGGACAGCAGAAGATTCAGTCGCAGCAGAAAAATGCCAAAAAGCAAGCTGAGCAAAAAAAGAAACAAGGACATGATCAGAAGGCTGCAGCCAAGGCTGCCTTGATATATACCTGCACTGTCTGTAGGGTAAGAGGAACTAAAGTCAAAATAGTCTTGTAGGGAGAGGTCTGTCTTCCTGCCTAGAACAGGATTTTTAGAAGATTTTATAATGGAAACTAAAATACTTAAGTGGTTGTCTAGCTTGTTGCTGTAAGAAGAGTTTTCATCTGTTATGTGACTTGCTTACAGATTACTCAGCCATACTGGTAATTGAGATAGAAAATCTTAGAGGTCGTGTTCAGGTCTGGTTTGGGTAGTTATTTTGCCTTTTGTATTACAGTGGTCTGCATATGCTCTTAGTATGAGATAGAATATGTAAAAAGTGTGCTGTCAGTTCTTGTTTAGTCTCTACATGGAAACATATTTTGTGATGGAATTGGCCTGTCTTGGAATCAGTGGTTATGGATGTTGCTGTAGAAAGGAGAAGCTATGTGCCAAAAGCTTTAATGTAAGCTTGATACACAGTGACTTTTGCTAGAATAACGTACTTGACAAGAAAAAGGAAATTTGAGTGCTGATCAGATTGTCCTTTTCCTTCTGGCTGGTTTTCCTAAATGCTTCTTTTGGAGCTGAAGGAGGTACTTGCCATTTTCACTTCAATAGTCAGTCTCAGAATAGATCTGCCACTTCAAATGTCTTAAATAGGATTCCAAATTGAGGGTTGCTTACTTAAGTACTTGTAACCAGCTCCTCTTGTTGTGAAATCAGGCTGTAGTATCAATCACTTTGGGCAGTTGATGCCTGCAACTGTGTCGTAGCAAAGGTCTGAGATAGCTTGTGCCAAGTAGAGACTCGGTTCATGCCATATAAGTTCTTGGCTTACTGGTAAAATAAAGAAATGGCTTTCATGAAGATTTTATTCTGTAAAGGATAAGTGTTTATCTTTAAGGTGTTGAAAAAGAAAATGGTGAGGAGGGAGGTTTTCCACCAAACCAGCCTGTGAAGTGCAAGATATGCAGAAAGATACCTAGCCAGAATAACACCATTGATGACCATGCCAAAGCAAGTGTGACAGTAGTGCTTAAAAGCACCTCTGAAAATAGGCAGTTAAATACTCCATCTTACCCTGCAGCTAAATTAGTGGTGCTCTGTCACTATAGCAATGTCATCAAGGAGGGAGTTGGCTTCTGGGGAAAGAAAATAAAATATAGTGGGGATTAGGTTTTGTAGTATTACTTAACTCTTGTACTGTGCATAAAGTTCAATGTCTCTCTTTAATCAGACTCAAATGCCGGATCCCAAGACCTTCAAACAGCACTTTGAAAGCAAGCATCCTAAGACTCCACTTCCTCCAGAATTGGCTGATGTTCAGGCATAAAGTTGTCTACAGGTCATTACCTTAATTTTTAATTGATTGTCTGAGAAAGGTATATTAAAATTGGTTTTTTTACCACCAACAACTGTGACTTAAAACTTGCTTCAGTTCTTTGAATACGAAAACTGCTGTAAGTAATAGTTATACCCCTGAACTGTTAAAAATAGAAGAAAGAAGCAAGCTAATTCTTACATGGGTGAAATGGCTGTGGCATTTCACTGTGCCCGGAGGTTGTTTTAAGAGGGATTAATGTTATTTCAAATGGTCATTCTTAGTGTTGTAGGAATACTTCATTATTTAGTTCTTGCTTTGAAATGTTAGTTTTGCTTTGAACAAAATACATCAGTACAATCTGTCTGTTACTATAAAACATATAATGTAAACAGTTGTTTAGTATATTTCCAACAATTGAGCCTTTTTGTTCCTGAAGTGAATGCAGAAAAATCTGACTTTCTGTGTTGACTGTAGAAGAGATTTCCCAGTAGGCAGTTGTTAGGCTGTAACTGAAAGTGGTTATAATAAAAGGCTGAAATAAGGTAAAAAGCAGTACTATGGTATTTCATTCATCAGAGATAAGCAGCATTGTGTAATGGTTCAGCTTAACTGAGTTGTTCTTGTTTTTTATAGGTGAAGTCATGACACCTATTGACTCTTCTACTGTCAGACCTTACATAACAAACCTGCAGCTGCTTTTCTAAAACTGTTGATCAGCAAAAATGAAGGGGCTACAGAAACATTCATATTTTTATGCTGTTCCCTCTTGGGCTTCATGCAAAGACAATTCTGTGTAAATGTACAGTTGTGCCCTATTTGGAAATCCTAAAAAATCAGTCCATACTTGTTATAAAAAATTTTTTACAATTGTAATTATATTGATGTTCATATTGTGTAAAATAACTCACTTAATAAAGTAGTACTTTGATTTTACAATATCACAGATTAACTCCTTGTAGAAATTCTGTTTCACCTTTCTGCATTATCTGCCTTATAAAATAATAAAATATACAAAAGTGGAATTTTCCCCATCCTGCCAAAACATGAGCAGTATCATTCCACTGCAAGTAATGTACATTACAGTAAATTAATCTTAAAGTGGAGAGGGAAGCTGCTCAGATTTACTGTCCAGTGTGCTGCCTGCTTGAGCCCAGCCACTAGTGGTCAAGCTGATGGCTCAAGGTGCAACACACCCCTGAGCAGCTGCATGAGAATCATGAGACTTCCTTCTACATTTTTGTCCTGTGTACTGGAGTCTTAAGTACTGCAAGCCATTTCGAATGGGATTCCTTTACTGTGAGGGATCATGTTCCTTGAAGTCATGCACTGGAGGAACTCTGGTTATGCTTGTTATCCTTTCTATTTAGGTAGATGACTGAGGAAGCTTGAGAGGTGGCAGGATTTAAATGCTGGCTTGAAAAATGCTTGCCAAATACTAGGTTAAAGCAACTCTGCTCTTAGTTGAAAACCGAATTTTAAAATATTTTTAATGATATTTTGAGCAGTCAGCCACACATGTTCCCCCTCAAATGTGTCTGGTTATTTCTCTCTTGAAGGAATATGTAAAATAGCCAGCCATTAATAACCTTCCTTCACAACCAGCTTAAAATAAGCCTGTTGGAAAAGAGCCAAAGTAACTAAAATAATATGGCTACTTAAAGAAATCGGATGTGATTAAAGTTGCAATGACAAGAAAAAGCTGGATAATAACTCTGGTCAAGACCATTTGAGCAGATAAACATAATTACCCCTAAAGTGTTCTGGGCTGCATTCTAATCCCAGATGTACAGCACAAAAGTAGTGGAGAAATATCTGAATTGTGCTGGAAAGGTCTACTATACAAAATCCCATCTTAGGCATTTTGGAGGGGGCTTAAGAGCTTTAGTTTTGACCCTGCAGTTAGAAGCAGCGATGTGCGGAGTTTACAATGGATGTAAAAATTCCAGCAGTCCAAGCAATCCTTGCTATGCAGCAGGACTACACATGTGACCTTCAAATGGCTTCCTAAAATCTAGGACCATAGTCTCAACGACTCATTCACTTAAAAGAATGCACTTGGTATTTTATTATATAAAGTCAAAACCTTTGTCTTTGTCCACTCATTTGCTTTTTATTGAACTACTTCTGTGAGACTAGCTTCCTGTCCTCTTTGCTGTGACAGTATCTCTGTAAATACTTACTTTGGCATAAAGTTTCTCTGTATTATAGTCACTCTGGGATAACCTGTATACCACTTAACTTTTATAGATAATGTTATTCTCCTCGGCGTAATCCACTACTGCACTTGTACACCTGACATCAGAATGTAACAATTCATTTCTTTTTCTTTAATGTTATCAATACATACATCCTAACAGACTGGCTCCACAAGGCAAGAAATCTGCTTTCAACCTGTGTGCTGTATGGGGGAGAGGTTCTTCAATGTTCTAATGCTGTAGTTTGTCTAAAAATATGCTGAGTAGAAATGGAAAAGATGTTTCTTGCACTGATTGGTATTTGATAATCTGGTTTTACTCTGGAAAATGTTTGGGGATGCATCCCTAAAGCTTGGGCCTGAGGTGAAGTAAATGTTCTATTCCTTCAATTCAGATTGTGTAGCATTAAATAAAAGACTTGTTTCATAAACAATCTTTGTTAATGAGCACTGAAGAGCTGGAAAGCTGCATCATTACTGGGATGGTTACCTTCAGTTAGAATGGTATTTTCAAAATTCTTAGGATGCTCAAGTTGAAAATGCCGTCTGAAATGATGGGATTTATATGTTGGAAAGCAAGGGTGATCCTCAGTTCAGTAAGATCCCCAGCTACAATAACTGTCATCTTAATTACAGAAGTAAATGAAAGCTGTGACTGAATTGTTATAAAGGCTGTACTAAATGTGGCAATAGCCCTCAGTCAGAATACCTGCAGTACCTGTACCTAAAAGATCAGAGGAAGGACTGACTAGTTCTCCATCATCTCTTCCTGATCTAAAAGACAGCATACCCTAGTACCTGGCTGAAGACACAGTTGTGCATTGTAATGTGTCTGATTAAAGAGAATTAAAAATATAAACCATAAAATGTCATATTTCCTGCCTGCTTTTGCTGTACCTAGAAAATTAATTTCCTGACTGTGGACAGTCGTGTAACTTTAAGCTGTCTAACTGTGCAAGAAAGAAAAATAGACATGGAATGTTTCCTGTATTCCCTTGAGAAATATTAATTTCTGTGCAGGGTCAGCTTGTGGAGCAACTTTAAGAGGGGTTTTGGATTTTCAGAAACCTTCATCTTCTGGGAATCTCTTTAAGCAGCATCTGAAATTGCATTTTAAATGAGGCTTAAAATATTCTGAAAAAAGTCTCACCTTAGAGAGTAAAAAGTTAGCAGGTATGGTTATGGTGAGGCCATCATCATGGGGACTACTGAGTAATCAAGAACAGTTTTGCAGTTTTTGTTACTCAGGCGTATTTCTGTGCCTCTGCTTTACCTATCTCAGGGCTTCTAGTTTCTTACTGTCAAAAAGCTGTGTGAAAAATCCAAGATAGAAGTTGAAGACAGTTGCCGTGTAGCCTTAGGAAAGCAGTTTATGCAGTGCTCTTGAAACATCCCTGGACACCATCCCTGTGGTTATTTGCTGAAAGCACTTCTGCTCAAGTAAGTAAAGCCAGTGACCACGGGCTGTTTGCAATCCACATAGCAATGAAGGAATTTGTGGCATTTCTATAAAGTGTACTGATTTATTTTCCCATCTTGGTAAGAAGTGCTAATAGGTGGGATGTCTTTTATCATCAGATACTGATAGGCTTTCCCATTTTCACAGAAACAAGTTGGGAGTTAGTGGGCTTTACTGGAAGTGTGATCTTCCAGGGTCTGACAAGTAAATTTGATTAGTCCTATAGGAGCCACAAGCAAAGTAAAGGTCAGTTTGTGTTTCTGTCTACCCAGTCACCTTCTGCTGTGTGTAATTTGGGGGCCTTTGATTTGCCTGTTTAGAACCTCATAGGTTTTGGAGTGGGCTTTGAATTCAACTCCAAATCTCAGTTTGTGCTGGTGTTCAGTGTGTGCTTTTGCTCTAGTCCAGACAGTGGGAGGGTGTCAAGTGCTGTCTGGAATTTTTCTGTATGTTTTTAAAATTATTTTGAAATCTTTTAATACATTTTCTATTGTGTTATAGGTGTTGTATAGATAAGGCACAACAGAGGCTCACTGAGGGAGTTGAGTTATCTTGGGAGCTTTTAAAGAAAAGTAGATTAGGTTATATGTATGTTTTATAATTCTCTTATGTAGTGTTTCACGCTGGGGTTCCTGGGAAAGGAGGAATCTGTAGTTGTCCCAACATAGTTATCTAACTGTTCAAGCTGTGTCTCAGCTTTTTTAGGAAATATGGCACAGCTTTCCCCTGAGAACTACTGTCCATTAAATATATAAAGCCAAGGTCCATGCAGCACTTTGATGTTATGGCACGCATATTTTTGTGTTCCTTCTTTGTAGCTGTGACAATCAGCATGCAGAGCATAACTGAAGGCTGGAGCTCTTTCAGAGGACTACAGATTAAGGGAAATCTCAGGAATGTATCTAGTCCATCTCCCTACTCTGAGATTGGATAAAATCTGCCCAGACAAGCTACCAAGTGTTCCTCTAACCCGTAAAAGCTTCCAGTGAAAGGGATCCCACAGTCCCAGACCTTGTAAGCAGCATGTGTCGCTGCTGTAACCACTGCTGAAGTGGACAGTTATCACAGCAATTTATCCCTGCCAGTTAAGTCAATTGCTTACTGTTCTTATTGGCAGTAGATGTGATGAATAGTGCCTTTATTTGAACATTGCTACTGTGTTCTCCTAGTCTTCAGAGTAAACCCAGTTAATTGAATCACTCTTCATAGGTCACGTTTTCTAAGTCTGGCAATTGTTGGTGCTCTGGATCCTCTACAGTTTGTGCTCTTGAATCATATGGTCCAAGATGTGACCCAAAGTGCTGGCTGAGGCTAGTGCAGAGTAGCTGGAACAACTAAGGTCTGGCACTTGCATACACTGGAATTATATTAGGCTTTCTGCAAAAACATCACAGATTCATTTTGGTACCACTAATAATTTCCACTTTGTACCTCTGTTTAGTATCCACATACCTGCCTCTCAGGGATCTCAGACCAAACTGTTTACCAAGTTCATCCAGGTGTGGTATCATGGAGGATATTGCAGATGTCCTCTTTTACTCTTTAGTCTGTATTGTTCATGAGCACACTGATGGGATACATTGCAGGCAAAGCCTTGCAGGACCTCACTTGAGTATCTCGCTAGACTCCAGTAAGCCTTTGGTAATTCTTGAGAGCACTTTGTACTTCTGTAATTCTCTTTGTGGTCAGTATGGATTGTAGCCCCTTACCTGTGAGGACTTTGCAGACTGACTATGTTAAAGGCATTTACAACAACAGGGAGATTTGGATCTTGTGTGCCTGTGGCAACCAGGCCAGTTTTCACAAAGAAATGAAAGGTAGTGAGGTATGGCATAGTTTGTTCCTGAAAAATCCATATTGTCTAGCTGTTGCTTGGTTACTTCTTCATATGCATTTACAAAGGGAATTCTATAAAAATTATCCTAGCCCTTTCCCAGGTTCAGATTGACTGACAAGAGTCCCTTTATTTTTAAATTACTTGTGCTTGTCTCACTACTTTCTTGAGCTCTTTCCTGTGCTCTGTGAGTTCTCAGAGAGCAACACTCATGGTCCCTAGTGACATGGCTGATTGCTGGAGCATCCTAGGATAAGAGTTATTAGCTGTTGTCAACTTGAATTCCATCAAAGTCCTCTGACTACTTTAGCTTATTCTTTCACCTTCTTCACATGGTTTGTTACTTTTGAGTGAAATAAAAGATGGTGTTGATTACTTATTTGTAAATCTTATCTTTCATTTTCTTTCCTTCTTCATCAGCTAATGGACCTATACTTAACTTTATCTTTCC